TTTAAATTCTAACTCGTCCGATTTTTACAAAAAAAATAGTGTTTCTCGTGTGTAAACAATATTCTAAACAAAACTCACTACCTAAGGTAGTGAGCACCACCCTTTCATGGCCAAATTCAGCCTCTAAATATGGTTTTCGGGCAGTTTTTTATTTTAACGAAAGATTTATGTTGTTTTTTCTTATTTTAATTAAATCTACCCTAAATCTAATTATTGTTTTTGGGTTTTGTGATGATTCTTAGGGTGTTACATATACAATTTTTACTAATGGTTAAATATTCATATTTAAGGTCAAAATAGTGCGTTCGCAAGTGTGTCCATTTTATCTGTGTCAATTAATATAGAACAAAGGGAGTAAAAATAAAATTTATACTCCGTATAAGGTGATCTTCAACTTAAAGTGTTCTTCTAAAAGACTAAAACTGACTTTCATATAATTGCTTTGTGCTAAGATAAGTGTCAATTCGAGTATTTGGGTCGGATTCAATAAGGTAAGGTCAAGTCACGTATATTTCAAATTTGAGTCATGCTAAATTATCATGTCCATATAAATTGAAATCTGAATCAGGTATTGTTCATGTTGGTTTCAAATTGGGTCAGCTTTAAACACTTCTAATTGTAGTGTCAAATTTTTCCCAAAATAACCTTAATATTAGTAAATAATAGGTGAATTTATCAACACTAGCGTTTGGGTATCTATTAAGTAGCTTTTACTGGATCGAACGTTAATAGTATAGTTGTTTTCAAACTAATCACATCAATGTCTAACCATAGTCAATTAATAGAATTATAATTCGTAATGTCATTACAATAAAGTTACTTTACGAGACATTTTGATAAATCTTGGTTATTTTGGAATTTTCCAATATACTCGGACAAAGTACTTCGTACTACGTATTAGATATATGGTACAAATATTATAGAGGAACACCTTTAATTTAGGGTTAACTCGAGACCCCTGAGTATGTAGTTTTCCCAACAAAAAATGAACACAAGTTGGTGAGGAAGAGAAAGGAAAAAGGGCTTGCGCAAGACTTATAAAGGGTCCTATATATTACAATGATAGCAATTTCATTATCGATCATCATCTTCGTTAGTACTTCTTGTCTATGTTTGAGATTGAAAATGATGGAGAGGGTGCCATTCAAATTCAATTAAAGTCTCTTTTATTTAGTATTTACCAACCAATATTACCAATTTATCACACACAAATGACTTTGATAATTGAGTTATACTATTTTTTTTTTTTTTTCAATTTCTTCATCATAAAGTATAGAAATAAAATCAAGTATATATGACTGCCACATGACTGCCACCACCTTCACAACTCAATATTACTTGAGCGGCTTGATGGGTGGTAGCCGGATGTTGCACTTGATAGGTGGTGGGCTTATGTGGTGGTCGGATAAACCAACGACCAACATCAAAAATATTATTTCCTCTATTTCATCATTAAAACCCAATGATTCAAAATATATATTCAAAACTAATACTCGTGGTAGAGATTTGAACATGTACAAATATTACAAACCAAGAAAAGGTTAAGAAAGATCTTCACTTTGTTTTTCTTTTTGAATTGTAAAGGGTACAATGGGATGATTAAGAAATGAGTAGGAAATACAACTAGATTGTCACTTTCTTATGATATTAAAAGGATCATAAGAATTACCAAAAGTACACATCCACTTGATAAATGACTAGAGTGAAAATATGTGTTATTGGTAGTGGAGACATGTTATATCATGCCACACGTAAATATTTTGTGTTTTTCTGCTTAACTTATATATTTGAGACATGGCATGTGATTATCTAGAAAGTATAATGTTTTTATATATTTTGTAATCATATTAATAGGAGTTATGCTCAAATGAAGCATAATACAATTGCTTCTTTCTTTTGACATTTTGGCAATTAATCAATTATTTAATTAAAATGTTTAATAATTCTATTGATATGATTTACTCAAATAGTTTTTATATTTATCCCTTTTCATTTAGCTAGCTAAGTTGGGGTCTAATTCGGTCGGTTTTCTTGATTTGCCTACAGGATGAATAACAGTGTTTGTCCTGTTTGAAGCCCAATAGATATCTGTAATTACTAATTAGTACAAGTTGTACTTAAGTTGGCGCAATTTGCTAATATTATGATGTCGTGCCCCGTAATATAAAGCCTATTAAATTTCGAATGGTTCATATTCGAGTTTGGACATATCCTACTAGATTGTTATATACATTTGGGTGCACGGTGCACCCAAGGATTTTGCTCATTTAATGATTAAATGAGCAAAAAATACCCTTTGGTACCATGGACTCGGGTGTATATAACTATTTTCAATGCTTAGTGGGGAAAGCTTTATAACAAGCGTTGTTGTATTCTATGGCTTTAATCTAAAACCAACAACTGGTTAAGCTAGAACAACCCCTTACTAAATGCTCGTAACACTTGATTATTAATCAATTCGAAAGCTAAAATTTTTTAATATATGAGGTTACAAAAATTAAGTTTAATTTATTTTAACCGTTATCGCTATATATACGCATTGTGTGGAGCACGTAATTGCCTTGATTTAATTTTCGGGGGCGAAGAAGGTTGTATGTATTGTTAATGACCTTAATGTGGTGCTATCGTTATGTAGATGGCTGCTTCCTCAACTCCTCACCCATCCAAAGTTCAATGGTTACATGTGGCACAACAAATAAATGAGTTATTTGATCATCACTTATTACGGATTAGTTATTACTCTCTTTTATTTGGAATTGTACTCGTTTACTATAAACGTGATCAAAACTAAAAATCTTTTACCATGTCTTTAATCTATCTGTAAGGAAAAAAAATATATTATCAAGTGCGATTTTATAGGATTTAAAAGGCCAAATTAGAAAATAACACCTGCAAAAAAACCCGATTTTGATTATAACACCAAAACATTTTGAAATTTTATTATAACTCCTACAAAAATCCCAAAATTTTGGTTTCACCACCCACTAACGGACTTTTGGATGGAAACCGTTAGTGGGGCCTGCCATGTACACGTGTCAGCTGTGTATTGGTTTTAAAAAAAAAAGATAAATTAAAAAAAAAAAATAAACCTAACCCCCTTACCCAGCCAGCCCCACCACCGGCCACCGGCACCACCTGCCCAGCCGTCGGCATCACCTGCCCTCGCATAATCCGGCGAAACCAGCCCCAGCCCAGCCCTACCGCCAGCGCCACCTTAACCTAGCCCCTCACCTGAAACCACCCTCTTTCTCCTCCCGCCAGAAACCGACCCCCTCCCCTAGCCTCACCAAGAACCCAACCTCAGCAGATTCCGGTGGTGTTGCTGCGTAAAAACCGGCTGAAATCGCTGCGAAATTCAGCAGATTTGCAGGTGGTTCTCCGTCAATTCGCAGGTAGTTGTCTGGAAGATTTCGTGGCTCAAGAAACCGGCTGAAATCCTGCAGAATCCAGGGAGTTTCGTTGGTGAAGTTTCGGCGATTTCGCTGCTCAGGAAACCGTCAATTGCAGGCGTTTTCGCGGAGGGTTGTGGTGGGTGGGGGTGATTTTTCGGGGATAAGGAAGGGGGAAGGGGATTTACGGGGGGCTGATGTTGGTGGGGGTGACGGCCGGTGGTTTCGCCGGTGAAGGAAGGGAATCCGACGACAGTTGGGGTCTCCGGCAGTGTAGTGACGGTCGGCGGTGGTGGGGCTGGTGGCTGGGTTAGAGTTTAGGGGTTTTTCTTTTTTTAATTTTAATTTTAATTTTTATTAATTTTTATTTTTATTTTTATAAATAACTGACACGTGTTCCTAGTGGGTCTCACTAACGGTTTCCATCCAAAAATCCGTTAGTGGGTGGTGAAATCAAAATTTTGGGATTTTAAGTGGTGTTATAATAAAATTTCGAAATGTTTTGGTGTTATAATCAAAATGGGGTTTTTTTGCAGGTGTTATTTTCTAATTTAATATGCATTTTTACATTTTAGTTTTTTTAAAGATATTATAATAAGTACACTCCAATTAAAGATATTATTGGTCAAGTTTGAGTAGAATTCAGGGTAACCGAGAATTTAAATATTATAACTTTTTAACAAACATGATTAAAAGAATCTTTAAAAAAGTATATCCAAACAACTAGTGTTCTTCTCAATGTTTACTCAAGTCAAACAACTTTCATTAATAATTGTAACATGTTAAAACTCAGAAAAAGTGAAAATAGTTACAAATATGAATGATTAAAAAGATTCCATATAATATCTCTCAAAAGGTATTTATACCAAATAATTAATTAGATCGAACCAACCTTAACTATTCATAATAGGGGAACAAAAGAATGGCAGAAATCGTTGATAAGCATTATATCACAACATACATGACATAATTTGGTTGAATAATTTGCCAACCTTGACATTTTTAAATTTTGTTTTCTTAAAGGTAATGAGTAATTTATACGATCTAATGTTTGGTACAATTGCTGTTGTAAACTACTCCAATTACATATTGAAATCAGTAAGTCATCATTTCATTGATATAATAATTTTAGCAAATTCCTCTACAAATCATCTTAGTTATAAATTTGAAGTATGTATTACAGCAGTTCACTACAATATATACATAATAACATTTTTCCTCAAAAAAAAAAAAAATATACATAATAACATCTATTGATTAATAACATTCAATTTATAACTAGCTTAGCTGTATACTTCAAGATAATATATACTCCCTAGTCCCTCATCTCATGCAACATTTGACTTTTCATGTTACAAGTCTCCAAAAACACGATTTAAAATGTAATTAATATTTTCAATTTTGTACACATACAACTTACTTTAAAAAGTTACGGAGTATACTGAAACAAATCTAACAAGATTTCACGTGACTGTATTATTTCTTATGAAATAATGAAAATTTGTGATCAAATAATAAAGTTTCTAAGTTTATAAAGGACAAAGGGAGTAGTAAATACATGCATATACTATATGCACTTTATAGGAAAACACATGCATATATACTTATTAACGTACAAATTGTAAACCATGCAATCTGAATTTAATTTGAATAGAAAAAGAAAATTCCATGCAACTAGGATAATGCTGTTAAATCATATACATTAATAGGAAAAAAAAATATCATCATATACTATAAATGTAGGCCTTTTTAAAACCAATGATTCTTTATTTAGAAACTATTCTTCACATTCTCTGAAAAGGGCATAAGCTAAAATTGTTAAGATGCCTCATAGTGACTCTCTTCTACCCAAAAGAAGTACATCGTTTCCACTACAACTTCCTGGAAAATGGTTGATGAACAACCAAACCATTAAAAAGCCCTTGAAAAGCTATGGAGAGTCAAGTAGTTATGTACCGCGATCTACTAATAATTCATGTGTAGGATGGGTCTTAACACTACTCCATGAGTGTGCAAAAACGATATCTCAGAAAAACCCTAGTAAGTGCCAACAAATTCTATGGGTGTTAAATGAGGTTGCTTCCGCGTATGGAGATTGTGATCAAAGATTAGCATATTACTTCTTAAAAGCCCTTTTTGCCAAAGCCAACAACTCGGGACTTCAACTCTATAACACCCTAAAAATCATTGAAGAAAAGAACTATTGCTTCGATACATATGTGAAGCTTATGTTGAAGTTCCAAGAAGTGAGTCCATGGACAACTTTTGGTCATGTTGCTTCAAATGGTGCAATATTGGAAGCCTTAGATGGGGAGAGCAATTTGCATATAATCGACTTAAGCAACACCCTTTGCACCCAATGGCCTATGTTGCTTGAGGCTTTAGCCACAAGAAATGATGAAACTCCACATCTAAGGCTCACACTAGTTGTATCTACTAGCTTAGAAACAATCATAATCAAGGAGATTACCAAAAAGATGGAGAAGTTTGCTAGGTTAATGGGTGTTCCCTTCAACTTTCATGTGATTGGTGGATTGGATCACCTTGGAGAGATCAAAAAAGAAGATTTGGGTTTACAAGAGGGTGAGGTGGTTGTTGTAAATTGTATTCAAGCTCTGCAAAGAGTTCGTGTGGAGAAAAGAACAGATGTAATTGACATGATTCGATCCACCAAGCCTCGTGTTGTGACTATTGTAGAGGAAGAAGTTGATCTTACATCCACAAGAAGTGACTTTGGTAAGTGCTTTGAAGAGTGCTTAAGATTCCATAGGCTATACTTTGAGATGCTAGAGGAAAGCTTTCTTCCAATTAGCAATGAAAGGCTCAAGCTAGAGAGAAATAGGTCAAGAAATATTGTTAACTCCCTAGCTTTTGATGATGGTGAAATCGAAGAGGAATATTGGAGGCCAGATAATGCTAGTCAATGGACTAAGAGGCTCAAAGAAGCATTTTGCCCCTTTCATTTCAACGACGAAATTCTAGGTGATGTTCAAGCATTGTTAAGACGATATAACACTAGTTGGAGTCTAGCTTTGCCACAACGAGATCATGAAGTGGGAATACACTTAAAATGGAGAGATGAAACGGTTGTTTGGGCTTCAGCGTGGAAACCTAACCTTGCTCCATCACCTCAAAATCCATCCTAGGGCTTTTGGCATACTTCTACAACCATTTCTCTCTATTTATGCTACTTCAATTATACTGTGCCTCATTGTTTGAAGGTGGTTTATAATTAGTTATTGCCTTTATTTCTTTGGATTGAACTAGTTTGTTTCTTCTTTTCTCTATTACATTATATTGAAGTCTAGCTATATATCTTCAAACATGAATTATATAAGAACATTCATGTACTATTTCACACATGATCCCAAAATGTGTCATGTATATCACATATAATAATGTATATCTAGCTAAATTCAATTATTTTCTTCTTGAGTTTATGAAGAACGAAGTTACATTGTTAATCAGATCATACTAATAGAAAACATGAGATCCCTTTTTTTTTTTTTTTTTTTTTTTTTGCCATCAATCACTTACATTTGTGTGTTTTTGCAAACCATCTATATGATTTGGCTGCTTTGTGTTTTAGCTTTTATTGTTTGAAGGTATTTGCACCTTTTCATAGAAACACAAACCATGAGATCGATGGAATATTTATTTATCCATTAACTCCTCAACTTTATATGCCAAAGATTTTATGTCGGCAAAAGAATAACTTTGTAACAAGATATCAAATGTTTTGATTTCACTTGACATACATCTATATTTAATCATGCTCCAATCATGTAATAAATATGTGAAACATATAAGAGCACTATAAATTAAAACGTTATTTCTTTGTTAATATTTATCTTTTAGATTTTGAGTATTTGATAGCTATCAGTGTAGCGGATAGTTGTCAATTAGATAATAAAAGTTAGTTGTCAAAATAGTTGTTGGTAGTGAGTGTTTAATTAGCCAAAAAAATAGGTATTGAATTCTAAAGGAATAATTAATTCTAATAATTCAGTCTTTGTGTCATTCACTAATAATAATTCAACCTTTCGGTTATTTTTTAATAATCCAATTCTAAAGAAAGTAAAAGTTATCAAATTTGTTTAAAAATTTACTTAGCTTCAATTGATCAAACACTAATTACTTGGTTAAGTTTTACTCTCTTAATTGCCCTTAGACAAGTAATTAACGAGGGAGTGGAGATACATCTTTAAAATGCTAATATATTTAACGTGTGATAAATACCATCCAAACAATACCGCTAGTTCGCTACCACTCTTACCACATAAAGAATCAACTGCTATACCTTTTCCGGACACTGAACTCCTAATATTTTATTTATGTTGTGTTTTTCAACCTAATCAAAACGCCAAATACTATATTTTATATAAATCAATTACTACAGCAAAACAAGACTTTTTGCAACCTTTGGCATTTCCTTTATTTAAGGGGGAGGGCCGGGGGGTAGGGTTTGTATTTACGAAAGCTTTAGAAAAGATCAGGAAAGAAATAGGGAATAGAATGTTTTGGTTAGATTCATCAAAGTATGAAAGTTATAGTGAAGCAAACAAGCCAACTCATCAAGCTCACAATTCACTTGTGGTCGAGTTTGACGTACAATGTCTAGATACTAGATAGAGGCTATATAATTGCTTATACTTGGGTTATTCATTTGGATTTATCTTGCATGATTCTACAAAGCTTTTCAATTAGTTGCACAAGGTGCAAAAACGGGGGAAAAATTAATACATTATGCTTCATTTGTTCTTGACATGAATACTTGTTGCATAGCCTGCATTATCCGTGCATGCACATTGGTAATCCAGTCATTCTTTCCCTTTAATACATTATTTTTTTATTTGTGTGCAAGGGAATTACTTGATAAACTATTTGGCTACAAGAGGGCCGGAATTACAGAACTTTGTGATACAATCTCTCATTCAACTGTTGTGCCGGCTCACAAAGTTTGGTTGGTTTGATGATGATAGATTCAGGGGCGTGGTTAAAGAGTCCATCAGCTTTCTTAGCCAGGTTCTTATTGTTGTAGATATGCTCGTTGATTTCATTTGTAAGGTTGACACAGTACTCAAGAGCAGATGTTAAGTAGATAAGTCTTGATGTTAACATAGCAGCTTCAAGGAAATGGTCTTTCCTGTCCGAAAAAACAAATAATAGCATATGGATTGGATAGTACAACTTACAGGCATTTGATACTCAAGATGTCTCTTTGACAGACTTAGGATTTGAGTCCACGATTTGTGATCCATGATATACAATTTTAATCTTCTTAAAGTTAAAGCAATCTCAAATTCACTGAAAATGTTTGATAATACTCTCTATATTCCGAATCTGGTTTCAAGTGTTGGTGACTGTTCTCATCTGTAATCTTATTAAGGGTCTTTATTTGTATTACTTTGTATGCTGGCAAATAAGTCCTTTGGCGCCTGTTTTATGATTTGAATAATTTAGGTATCAGGCTCAGCTGCAGAAAAACTTAATGTATCACAGGGTTTTACTTTATAACAAACTGATTGGATATTGTGCATTGCGATCTTATTATGAATATCTGTCAAATAAATAATCTGAGCCTGTTATCAGTGCTTTGTTTCTAGCTTATTGTTATAGAAATTGGAATGTGATGAGCATATCATTAAATCAAGTATATCATTAAATCAAGTGTTCAACTCACTGCATCAGTTGTTGATACCTTGGAATTTTAGGCTGAATGTGTACTTACAACAGGAAGTCTATATTCCTTCCCTACCTCCTAGGCTGCCACCTCTTCATATCTTCCCCCGTCCCCTCTTTTTTCCTGCTTCTTTCGAACCTTTGGCAGTTGGGAGGTTTGGGTGGAAGAAAAAATTGACTGTTGCTTTTTTAGTAGCCTCTGCTGAGTAATGTCTCTGTGTTGTCAGATTTTGACATATGTGTTTTGTAAATTCTAATACATATGGTTTCAACTTGGATGATTATGTGCAGCTAGCGTACATATACTTGGAGACTTGAGTTTGAAGAAAGCCAAAAAATGGCGGCCAAAAGCTTAAAATATGCCAAGGAAATTGCTGAAAATCATGAGATAGAAAAAGCAACATGGAAGAAGGAAAAAATGGCTATGCACAAAACATTGAAGGATATGACAACACTTGTCCAACATTATTGTCCTACTAAGCCTCCTACATCTACTCTCACCCGCTCTCGTGATGCAACTAGGTGATTTTTATTTTCTTGGTGGTAATTTTGTGAACAACTGATTTTAAAATTTGGAGGCATATTTGTATATCGTCATTAGTTGTTATTGGAAGTAGCTTCCTTTAAGTGGGAGGTGATTTTGAAACAATTAGTCATATGGTTTTTAATACATTGATACAAAATTGATGATAATTTGGTTATTTTAATATGGTTTGGATATTTGAGTAAATTTGACATTTTGGTTACTTTAATTGGTTTTTATTTTTATTATACTTGATCAAGGGTTACTAGGTCCGTCGGGGGTTACTAGTGTGTTAGCTGGCCACACGATGTGGCCAGCTACACACAAAAGTTGCTGTATAAAATATCGGCCCTTAATTTGTAATATAATTTTTCCAACCGTAATTGTTCAAGGCTTTACCTAAGTCAATTTATTTTGTTTGAACTAATTGAAACTGGTTTATATATGAACTAGATGGAAGCCCGTACGATGCACGGTTATTTCAACTAAGATTTTTAATTATTTGATTTATTGTATTTAATAATTTCATACAAAATTACAAAATATTTTTTCCGTTATATAAAATCTTTAATGTGAAATGATAAATTTTAATAATTTAAATCCTAAATCATTATTCATTGTTTTACCATATCTTTTATTTCGATAGAATCACCAACCTCGTCCACAACCAACCTACTATATCAATGGATAAATTGAACCGTGAAATGTTAGCCAAACCAAAATTGATATAAATTAAATCTTTACATTTATATAAAATAAATCAATATATTTACCAATAAATGAAAAATTGTTGCGATATAAAATCAAATCTATGCACTGGAATTTTTTCATCATCACCAAAAATAACCAAAGCCATCCATATATTAAGTATACAACATCTAATCGTATGTCATTACATAAACAAATAATTGTTAAGTATCCTAAATAAATACAATGTAACTAATAATTACAAATATAAATTTAAACATAAGATTTTAAAAATTACCCGGACATTAATGACCTAAAACAAACACAAAATTACTAACACAAAATTCGCTTGATGGGGTTTTGTATTGATACGAAATTTTATTTGTGTCGTATGATGTGTTAGTTCTGCATGTAAAAAAATATTTAGTAAATAAAACCATAAACATATAATCATTGAGTATCCCAAATTAATACAATGTAAGTAATAATTAGAAATACTAATTTAAACATAGGATTTTAAAAATTAAGCTTAAAATTACCCGGCCATTGATGACCAAAGATTAACACAAAATTACTAACACAAAATTCGCTTGATGGGATTTTTTTATTGATGCGCTATTTTGTTTGTGTCATATGATGTGTCAATTTATAATGGTAGGTATCACAAATTTTAATTTAACTATAATTAACGAACAATTTGTTTTTCTTATCATAAATACTATCAAAATTTACCTTATAATGATAGGTATCAAACTTTATTATAAGCGTTTATCATTTAAATATTTTTTTAGTATATTTTTTGGATTTTGTTATACTCGTAGTATTGAATTAATAAATTTATCTTTTCCTATATTTTTACTTTATTTTTTTTTATTAAAATAATTCAATTCGTGGATTATAATCTACGTGGCATTAAAATTTTAGATATATCAAATTTAATTCGTTACTTTTATCGAGGTGGCAACATAATTTTTTAATTCAAAAATAAAATACAAATCTTTCTTCTTCTTGGTCGAAATAAGTATATTTCTTACGTGGCGCTCTGAATACTCTCCAAAAATGGCTACTTTATTTATATATATTAGATTGGTTTATAGCAGAATTTATACATGAATTTGAGAAAACTTATTATTAGCAAAACTAATTTTGTTAAAAAAATATCTTTTAATTATTATGCACTTTTTTTTTTGAGGAATAATTATTATGCACTTCGCATGATACAGGTTAAAAAAAATTTTAAAAAAAAAAAACCCTTTAATTAAACATGTTAAAACAAAAAACCAAAGAGTATAGATGGCCAATGACTTGTTTAAATCATTCCAAATTGAATCTAGCTTATTTCAACTCTATAGTCAATCATATTTATCCTAAATATCTATCAACATTTTTATATGGTCTAGGTGTAATCAAATCAACTTCGAGACTCAATTGAATAATCAATAATGTCTGGTCAATTGTATGAGGTCAATCATATTCTTCCTCCATTTTTTATCGCAATGTTTAAGATTTTCCACAATCCACGCAAACTCTTCTAACCACCTTTTGTGATTTGTACGTAAGCAAAAATATAATCATGTGAAATCTTGTTATAATTATCCCAATTTATACTTTCACAACAAAAAAAAAAAAAAAAAAAAAAAAAAAAAAAAAAAAACTTTTTATAATTTTCATTAATGTGTAATCAAATATATATAAATGATATAAATGTGATAAAAACTCCAACATAGCGATTTGTAAAGATAGAGGAAGTATGAAGTAATATAAAGGGTGAAAAATAAGATAATATTTGAAGTGCAAAGGAGAAACTCAATAGATTGAGACCAAAATGCAATTTTCTTCAAAAAAAAAAAAAATGCAAGTAGAGCCTAAACTTTCCTAATTTTTCATTTTGGCAACAATAGCTCAAGAGTGAAAGCCCAAAAAGCCGATAAAGCCCAAACAATAGAAAGTTGAGAGTTTTATTAACCCTTTTCCATCCCTTCAATTAGGGTTTAAGCTACTCGACTGCGGATCTTCGGCATTTCCCTACTCTCTGCCTTGCAACCATGGTACTCTTTCTCTCTCTTTTTCTCTCTCCTTAAATTATCAATTGAATTGCTTTCTTTGTTGATTCAATGTTATTGCTTCGATTTAATCTGCATTTATCATTTATTTTATTTTTGCCAAACTTTCTGCTGTAATTTAATTGTTTTGATTTTGATTTTTGCTGTTAAGTTTTAGTTTGCTGCTGATTGAATTATTTTTGAAATTTTTGTTGGTGATATATGGAATCTGTGGAAATAATTGTTCTGAATCAAGCATATTTATAGTTTATTTTTACAAAATGCTAAGTATGATTAATTTGAAATTCATCTGTTTTATATGGTTGATTCGTTAATATTGATATTATAGCTATTGAAAAAGATCAAATCTTTCTAGGTTATTTTAGAAGTGATATTTTTGTTGGGTTTATTTGGGGTTTTTGCTGTGATGTTTTCTAATCATATATTCATATTAGTGGTTGATGGTAAATTGGTAATTAGTATTGTAATGTGATGCATTATGTAAAGAAATGTGAATTTATGGGTTGGGTTATTGATTTTGTTGGAATGGTTATTTATAAGGGCTAATTTTGGGGTTTATGTTGAAATGCAGCCGAAGCAAATTCATGAGATAAAGGATTTCCTTCTGACTGCCAGAAGGAAAGATGCGCGATCTGTGAAGATCAAGAAAAGCAAGGATGTTGTTAAGTTCAAGGTCCGTTGCTCCAAGTATCTTTACACTCTTTGTGTCTTCGACTCCGAGAAGGCTGACAAGCTGAAGCAGTCTCTTCCCCCTGGTTAGTGCCTTGTCGATTTCCCTTGTCCTCCATTTACTTGTTTCTGCATTTTAGGTTGTTTTTTGGCTGTGTATTTGCATTTCATTCGATGATTTGCAAGTAATGACTGTATGAGGATAAGATTTGTTTGAGCTTTCTAAATCATTGTGATTGAGATATGCCACAAAAGCTTTCATACTTCTGATTGCTTTGCTGTTGGTGGCTGATTGAATTCTTTTTAGAACACGCATGCTTTGTTGTGTATAGTATTGAGAGTTAGACTTTTATATTATCAATTTGATGCTTGTTACCTGTTGGCATTTTCTCCTTTCGATTCTAAAGAGTGGACAATAGAGAGGGAGGGAGGAAAGTGGCATGCCCTAGTATTAAATGGCAACAAATTCAGTAGCCTTGAATATTGCTCGAGTGATGCCAATCCGTCATACCTAGAATTGTAGGTTATGTCTTTTTTTGTTCGTCATGTAAGCAAGTCACTAATACTCCTTACGTTGTGTGTACATTAGTTTAGAATTTTCCTAGTAGAAAGTTGGAAACTTTATACAGGACGAGGTGATATGCTGATTGAATAAACTTTTATTTAAAGTACACTATGTTGCTTTAGGTAAATTTTGTGATTAAGGCTATAGGAGATGAACAAACTATTCTTTTTCTTTAACGGTTTCTTTGAATGCAAGTGATCTGGGTTTGTTTTCTTATTATCCTCATCCGTTGTGCAGGTTTGAGTGTCCATGATCTTTAAACAAGAGGAGTTGCTGTTAGTAGCTGTTAGGCAATTGAAACCAGCTGTTTTTGTTTTATCAAGTTTTGCTATTAGTGAAATGCTTTGTAATCCTTTTGAACAAGCTGCTTGAGAGATATGATTTGGCCCCTAAACTTTATTGTATTGACCTTACAATATTTCGATACATGCTTCTGGTTTTTATTGCTTTTGATTGTGAAAATGGTGTGTTGACCAGTAACTGGTAAAGCCTCCTTGGCTTACATTGTGAAAATGTCATTTTGCATTACATTTTCCTTTGGCAGTTTACCACTGACTGGTTGATTCTTTGAACAGTGTTTCGTTGCTGCTATTGATCTTTGGACTGCACAGAACTGCTTAGGTTTTTCCATAGTGACTAGTGAGTTAAGTTTTCTTTGTATGAGAATGATTGGATTAACCACTATGTCTTGGATTCCAAAATCTGGAAAATTCCAGTATTGACTTGGTAAATCTCTGACAAGTATCAGTGCTCTTATATAAAAGCCATTGAACTTTTTTAACCGAAATGGCTAAAATAGTTGGTCTAGTTAAAAAACTAGAGCTATCAAAATCGTTGGCAATTTGTGAGTAGACTAGGTCTAGATGATAACAAAATGTTACACAGACCAACTAAAAACTTGATATGACAATGCTGTCTAAAACCTAGGAGCTGTAATTGATCCCTACCTGACTTGACTGAACTTGAAACCGACTCGAACATCTGATTTGACGACTTTAAATCGAGAACAAGTTAATGTAGAGGCAGTGGAGCAAGCATCATCGCATCTTATCTTATGCCAAGTAATGTTGTTCCTTGATGGAAACAAATTAAAACTTCACGACGACTATTCTTTCGAAAAGTTTCTTAGGAGAATACCATATTTGTGGCATGATATTTGAACCAACACTCTTGAGTCTCTGTTATACCCCCCCCCCCCAAAAAAAAAAAAAAGCTCCTCCGACCTTCTAAAGTGTGAGCCTTTTGGTCTTGGAGCTTGTCACATTGGACCGTGATCATAACCCTTTCTAGCCATACTGTTCTAATATCTGTTAGTCTGTTACTAAGTGTTGCTTTGTTCTGCGATATTAGCCATGTTTCATGCTTTGCATTGAGTGTTAATCGCGCTGCCTCTTCTTGTTGCCAAGTTGTTCTCACCTAAATCACTATACTGCTCCATGGTTGCCTTGTATAAGCACGACATTAAATTTCAGACATTACCTGCAGGAACTAACTAATTAACTATGCATCAGCAGAAAAATAGTACTGAACTACGAAGTATATACAGCAGTAGTTACAAAGAGGCTTTTGTTGTTCACTGCCCACCAAATAATCCAACTACTTTTACCTGTAACAACTAACAAGCTTTTTTTTTTTTTTTTTTTGACAAAATCAAGTTCTTTTTGAAAACATTGTATTTAATCTGTCTTGTATACGAATTATTGACTTGGTTACTCGGTTTTGACATGACTATGTGTCTAAGTATTTGACTCGGATTTTTATGTGAGGTAAAATGAAAAGTTCGAGTAGCATAGCTTCTATATAGGGGCATAGGGCATCTACTCGGTATTATTAAGTTTGTCAGTAGTCTGTTTAAGTATTCTTGAGGCTCTTATTAGTGGGGGTGATCGACACGATCCTGAAATTAATATGCATATACTAATTCACAACGAAGTTTTTGAGAAGTACCAAACTAAACTTCAGCAAAAGAACAATAAAATGGGCTATCAATTTAGTAAACAGTCCACAAGTTATTTCTTGAACTATTATGCATGATTCTACAAGGGGAGATACTTGAGTCCATAATTCTGATCCATACAATTGCAAACCTAAAAATCACCTGGTATATGTGGTCCTCAAATTCAAAATTATGAATATCTATTAATTATATTAGTAATGTTTTCGTACATGTATTAAAGGCAAAACTGTTTAAAACGCTAAAATAGTTATGAATAACTGATTTTTGTTGGGCATTTTGTTTTTTTGTTGTTTAGAGAGCCACAAGGGCGGGGATGAGAATCGATCCCGCGATCTTTTGGAACCGGGAGGGAAGCTCTAAGTACTTGAGCTATCCCTCACTCTCTTTGTTGGACATTTTGTACAGTTATGCTGTTATTTTTTTCAACCATTATATGTAATCAATTGCACTACTCATTATTTTGTGGATACTTTTAGGTCTTCAAATCCTATTTGATCTCTATTTTCTTATAAATATTGCCATTTTCTAGTGGTCATCAGTCATCACTCGAACAAACATCCAGGGTAGTTAATTAAACGAATCATTAAATTTCAGTAAGTCATTCACTTTAATTTATTTCGAACTTTATAATTTTTTTGGCATGTACAAGTATAAAACAATTTAAATCATAGTAGAAATATCATACGAGTATTAGAACAAAAAATTAATTTTTGTTTATTTTTTTCTAAGATAAATATCTTTAATTACGTAAAATAAAATTATATATATATATATATATATATGATCAACCTGGCGCATCCAATCCAATCAACTTCTGATCAACCTTAATAAAATCGTAACAAAACATCTTATTTCATGTGAGGATATGATAATATGTTAGTATCAATTTCAACTGTGAATATTTTAAGAAAATACTTCCTTATCCAAATTAGTGAGTAGTTAGTTATACATACTTTTAATAATGTTTATATAAAAATACAAATACGTCACATTTTCTACATGCATTTTTATAATCATATTCATTTGTGGATGATTATTACAATATGTCACTACTTAAATTAATTATTTAATACTCCATAAGAAGTTGATAGAAATATATTTAAAGACAATTTATATAATATCTTGAGTTTTTTTTTTTTTTTTTTTTTTTTGAGGGATAAAATCTTGAGTTTAACCATGTTGCAAATTGTTAATTTTACATTCTAAATTTGTTTAAGAAATTTATTATGTCTACATAAAATCTCAAAACATTAATTCTAAAAATAGTGATATAAACAAGATTTAATACTACATTTCCACATCAAAATATTTATTACAGGAGCTTAAATCTCAACCAAACTCGGCCAAAATTATCCTAACCAAATCAGATTCGAGACAACTTTAAATCAAATTGATCTTAAAAAAGCTAATAATCCAACTCAATTGAAATGACATCCTTATAAAGTGCCTAAAAAATGATGAAATGAATGGGTGGAAGTTGTTTGGAGTGAGTAGATCTAAACAACTAATTAATGCAGCTTAAGTAGTAAAAACCGTCGGTGGTGATTATGATTGAAATTGGAGGACCCAATTTATAAATTTATTTATCTTTTCAAATCATAGTAATAATTAATTTCAATTATAAATTGTGTACCATATTCCTTCAAAAATAAATTGTGTACTATATGTTTGATGTTTCCATTAATTTAATACGATTAGTATTTATTCTAGGATACTGCTATATGTAGTTCTAAAAGGTATATTTAAGCATTAAATACACTCTTGAAAATTGTATAAAATTATGAATTCATGACAAAAACACGTATAAATCAGTATAATTAGTGTTTATATTTATATGATTTTCTAACGTTATACGATTTTCTAATGTGTATTTAATGCTTATATGTAATCTTAAGCACTATATATAGCATTTTTCATTATTCTAAGTATGATGTTGATATTTTTGCATTTGGCGCACCAAAGATGCCACGATAATGTTGGGTTCGTTGCTTCACGTTTATTGCAAGATCCAAGGAGAGTAATTAAGAAAACATGGCTTTTAAGGGTCTTGGATGAGTTCACAATTACGGCACACACGTGTGGGGTAGGACCTGTAATTTGGCACTTCTACATCAATCAATGAGGTATTAAAGTTAAGGAGTATAAATTGATAGACTTTCAGAATATGAGTGAATGTCAAATAGTTTAATTAGTAAAATTATTGAAAATAATGCATGAAATTTGCTTGTCATCATATAGACCTAATTTAAGACTTAAAATTGGATTTATAAAAGATCTCAAATCATTTTTAAAAAAATTAGAAATGGCAAAAAAATCAATATTATTGTAGAGTAGACCATGTCAATATTAAGTGTTTGTTTGATTTACATGAAAATTTAATTTCTGTAAGACTTATTACTTCAAGAGAAGTTACTTCGTTTATGCAATCTCTATAATGATCAGTGGCCGGGGTGAAGATGGTACTAGACATATGACGCAATATGAAAAAAACATGACACGACACGACACGTTATTATGCATGAAAAATATGAGTCATGTCTAGGCCACCTTAGGGTTTGACATGACAAGTACACTAAAATGATTTAAATTTGGCATATGCGTACAAGAATGATACAATGACATGTGTATTTAGGTTTTCCTTTGAAATTTTGGCCAACCATTAACGATAGGTTAGGCCTAGCCAGGTCCAAGTAAGACCTAGATGGCTCGACCTAGCAAAGCATGCAACCATCTTTTTTTTTTTGGGGGGGGGGGGTGTTTAGAGAATCTCCATCCATTTGGAACTTAATAGCCAATTAAATTATTTGGCATGCCACTTAATTAAACTACTATACATCTCAATATCTCATAAAGTTCAAACATGCACTAATTCGAAAGTTGTGTAGTATCACCTAGTATGTAATTGTTATGGAAGAAAATTACAAATTAAATATATTAGTAAAACTTGTTCTCTTCATTTTATATAAATAATTTAAGTTCAATAAGTATAAATTTAGATTAGTAAACATAAATCTAAATCAATAAAAATTAATGATTTTAAAGAGCAAAAAATTTTAAATTTCAACAATCATCCATTCCAAATAGTATTCCTCCATATCTTAATCCTAAAACCAAAGCTCGCACTATAAGCAAGACAAAACAACTCTCAGAAATTAAGTGATAAGACTGGGTTCAATTTAGTGTTCAATAATGGCGAATACAAAAGTAACTAAAAATGGAAAATTGGAAGCAAATAAAACAACTAACAAGTTATAGCTAGCATCGTGTTAGGTGGGATGCCTAAATTAGGCTGTTCTTAGCTTTGCTAAATTGAGTATGGTGGAGCTATTATTATTAGTGCAATAATTTGAAATTATTTCATTGTAATTTATTGTACAACGTTAATAGGGATACTTTGAGGTCTATGATGATGATAATCATATTAGGTTTTGTAGAGACAAATATGCATAATGTTTTTGGGTGAATAATTAAATTTATAGTATTCTAGTATAAATGCATAATGTTC